AAAAAAAAAAAAAAAGGAGAGGGAAAAATGAGATGAGTTGATTGTTTGTGAGCGTGGGAGAGCGCCACAAACGGGGCTTGAATATAGATTTGTATGCACACTATATATAGTAGAAGTAGGAGTACAGGCAGACATGCTGGTAAGAATCAGACAGACTCAGACACAGGAGCATCGCACTTCTCCTGCAGGGGAGCAGCACCGGTCTTTGTCAGCAGACCAGTTACATGTCAAAGAAAATAACCTGAAACCACATTGCAATGTCCTCTGAGCTGCACAGAGTGCTAAGTCACTGTACAACTGCGGTGGGAAACCACAAGCCATCAGTGGCCTCCCCATCCTACGATATCACTGCAGCAGCTGAGATGTGCAAGGGAAAACCAAAGAAAATCACAAGATCCGACCACACTGTCTCCACTTAAACATCTGACCGGTTGGAGGGGGGGGGGGGGCATGACGTTTCCTCCACAACAGCCAAAACAAGAGGCGCATTCTCGATGAGCAAAAGTTGCCTCTGCTGTTCAATAAAAGGCAACGTAACCTCTAAGCTGAACATCCATTTTTAAAATGCCTGCACAACTTTTGCAAGGCAAGGGAGAGCTCAGAGGAAAATAAAAAAAGGACGAGCTGCCTTTGAGTCAGGCAACAAGGCACAATGTTGCCTTGCAACAGGCCCAGATCGAAGAAGAAGTGGTGTACTCTGTCTCTGTTTGTGCATAAGAGAGATTTATTTATTGTTGAAATCTTCTTAGCCTCAACTGAAACGGAACACCCACTGAGGGCGATGAGAGGGCTAATGCACAACAGGCTGAGACAAATCATAGTCCCACTTCAGCAGAGGATGGCTCGGAGCATCTAGTCCAAAATAAATAACCACCAGCAGCTCCTGGGGAATCTTATGAGGGGGGGAAAACACAGGTTTCTAATCTCTTTATGCATCGTAGGCAATACTAAAGTCTAATAGAGACTGCTGCTGAAACTCTGCGTGCAAAAGCGGAAACCTGTTAGACCAATGAGCTCATCGTTCTCCCTGAGGTTTGGCGTCAGGACAGAGCTGCAGATGAAGTAAGCATTATTTAGCAGGTAAAATCTATGCAAAGTGAGGGGGAAATGTTCCGATTCAATATAATCGAACAGACATGCAAAACGTTGTTTTGGTTTGCAGGCACGCACCAGCTCACACTGATTTAACATCATTATGTGCTGGTGGGAGAGGGCACAGTGTGTGTGGCTCTCCTTTCGCACAAACAGCTCTGGAGTAAACAAATATGGCCCGTTTCCGCTGGAGAACAAACCGGGGTATCCAAATTCAATTAGCGTCTGAGGCAAGATGCCACTCACACACACACACACACACACGTTATCAATTGCTATTCCGTGATAAGTTGCTGGTGGACTCTTTGCAGCGACAGTCAACACACACACACACACACACACACACAGAGAGAGAAAACAACGATTCCAGTGCTGCAGGTTTGACATTATGAAGCATTTACACAGTCATAGACAAATCTACAAATGTGTGTGTGTGTCTAAAAAAGAAAGAAAAGAAGCATGGAAACGAAATGTCTCAGATTTTGCGAAATGAGTGTAAGGTCAGCTGATAGTGGCTTTCTAATGTCTGCTGTTCATGACTCAAAAACAACCGAGGCAAAAAACAAGCGGCTGCTCCGGACCCCGAATTCAACTCCGGCAGAGTGAAGGAACAGTTTCGGCGTATGAGACGTGTCGGAAATGTTGTGTTTACGCAATTAAAACTGATGTAGACGTCTGAACGCCCTTTTCGCATGCTGGAACAATCTCCCTGCCTGCTGCAAACTTGGGGAGCATCAGGACTCCTAACGAGCAAAGTAAGCACAGCTGCAGCAGCATCGCCAAAGTCCGCAAGCAGCGACGCGAGCCACTTCTTACCTTACTGTTTCCTCCGTGCCTCCAGTGTGTGTGTGTGTGTGTGTGGAGGAGAGAAAAAGAAAACCCGTCGTTGTCTCTCAGAGCAGACACTGTGGCGGAGAAGAAGCGGTGAAGAAGGCAGAGTTGTCGGTTGTTTTATCTAGTTTTTTCTCTCTCTTTGTCAAAGCGGTTAGTAATCCCAGAGCGCCGGGGCAGCGGAAGGGCGCCCTCACTACTGTGACTGGAGCTACACTGAAATCACAACACTTGGGCAGCCGCTCAGGCCACGCCCCCCAAGCTGGAGTTTGACAGGCGTTTCAGCCAATCACAGGCGCGACGGTAGGATCGGGTCTTTTCCGATTGGTTTGGGTTTTTTTTTTTGTGTGTGTGTGCGTATGTGCGTGTGTTAGGCCCCGCCCAGCTCGGCTCACTTTTCTCCCAGATGTTGAATGCCAGAACATCAGGCTCCCTGTACCGTTAGCCAGCCAATCAGAGCGCAGGAAAGGGGATTTAAACACACACACACACACACACACACACACACACAAAGGTAAAGGCAACATCATACCTTTCATGGCGTTTTATAACTCGTTGAGGACTGTAGAAGAGATGAAGGACCCCTGTCACTTTCTGCGCATCCCAGCATCCAGTGCAAAGGTTGTTTAAACTTGTTCCCGCGGAGAACGACGCAGAAAACTTATATAATACAAAGAAAATAATAAAAACTATAAGTTTGTCTTCATGTTGAGTCTTTTCGGTTTAAAATCCCATCGTCCCTGTTCTGGCGCTTTTGCTTCAGAGGAGTGTTTTTGTGCAGGAGTGATGTGATGTTCAGGAGGAGGGAGTCCTGTCTTGATCCTGCCAGCGTCAAGTTACAGACAACTACACCATGTACTTCCGGTGAGGCTTTCAGAATTAAGTGTTTCACAGCTGTAAAGAAATAAAGTTTACTTTTTCAACATTTAGCTTCTATGTGGAGTTATTTTGTGTTTTCTATTAGTTTTTAGTTTTATTTTATTTATACTTTTTGTTTTCAGTTCAGTTTAGTTTCAGTTTAAAGTGGATTTGCTTATTAATATGTTTAGTTTCAGTGTTTTTAGTTTTTATTATAATATGAGGGGTGTTTGTTGGAATAGGTATTACAATACAAACTCACTGACTACACAGTCATAGATATCCCATCTCATATGCACTGATGCCTCCTCATGCCAGTTGACTAAAACTAAAGACATTTCCTGTATATTTTATTTACGTTAGTTAGTTTTGTAAGTACACAATACTGTTTTAGTTAGTTTTTGTTTCTTCTAGTCTACAATGTTAAGTTTTTATGTTTAGATTTAGTTAACTACAATAATCTCGATGCTTCTAAAGTCCAATTTTATCTCCACAAATCACAAAGGTGCCATATTTTCATTCTGAATGCAGATTTTTCTACAAAAGACAAGTTTACAACTAGTTGTTTTTTTTCAGTCTTTTTTTAAAACTAAGTTAACTGGCTAACCATATTTAAATCTCCTCAACTCTTAGAAAGATAGAAAATAAGATTTAGCAAAATGTCAAACTCTTCCTTCAGGTTTTTTAATATGGACACAGATTCTGCTCATAATGGACCGTATCTGAATGAACCTCATATCAACATTAGTTATGTTTATTATTTATTTGGTAGAGGTCTCTAATGTGCACTACAGAAACAATTTGCTGCTTTAGCTCTATCTGCATTTCTACCCCCTCTTATTTTGAAGGTTAATATGCCTAATTTCCTCTTTTTTCTATCTTTCTCTCCAGCTTTCTCTCTCTGTGACTCTTTGTAACGCCACTCTGGATACAAGCACTGTCCCCACTCATTGTTTTGAAGTCATACCAGTGACGGTCCCGGCCTGTCTGGCTGCGTCTCCCCGGCAGGGAGAGGAGGAGGCGCGGCCTGCTTTCAACACCCACAGACCCCGGGACGTCGTGCGCTGCAGTAATCCAGCCGGAGATGAGATTAAGTTACTGGGAGTTGATGGCAATCGCGTCCCCGGGTGAAAATCTGGTACCCATTAAAGATAATTTCAAAGGTTTTTTGGGGAGGTGGAGCGACACAGAAACGGCGACATTTCTGTGCAGTTCCTGTGTTTTTACACACATCTCATTTCCTTTAGGGATGAAGAATAACTTTCATATACATTTGATATTCCTTTAGGGGCGTTTGGCCTCTCTGCGGTAGGCTACTCAATAATAAGTTAATCGTGTGGTTTGGAGTATTTTATCAACTGATTTATCATAATAAGCCCACATTCCTGTAAATACTGCAAAATGGGCATATTTTCAAGTCATTTCCATAAAACAAGAGAAGAAAATCTGACAGCTCAGTAAAATTATTTCAACCTGGACGAGTACAAACACCCCTTTTGTTTGTAAATGTAACACTTTCTGTATCTAGAAACAAAGACAAATTCACTAAAATCATGAAAAATGACAACAAATTCTAGGAAAGTTTTGGATTAAGTTGATTTAATTGAGTATTCCCACTGCAGTGGCGTTGTTTTCATTAGAAGAAAATACAATTTCTTTGAATTTATAGGCAAAAATCACCTCATGAAGACATTAATTTCCCCCTTTTTAGTGCCTTATTATCATAGTACAGTACAGTACTTTAATCTTCCTTGGTTTGTCTGTTTTTAGTATACAAAACAAGACTGATTTGCATAATATCCTTCAGAACGTTTCATAAAAAAGCATTCGTTAATGCAGTATTCGTTAATGCAATAAACAGTTTATGTCTTGGTTGCATATGGCAGCCAAGAATGACCACAATCTATCAAAATTAGACTGTAAAGTTCACCGGCGGCTCTTTCCCTCTTAACTCCTCCAGGTGCAGTGATAATTTCAACAGTTCCTGTGTCCATAATCTCTCTCCGGCCTGCAGACGCAGATAACTGATCAAAGGCAGAAAAACAGCTGCATCAAACGGACCCACTCTCATGTCTTCACAGTATACAGCTCAGTGTCAGTGGGTTACATTGCACTTATGTTTCCCTGATGTTAATCTGTTTGCACCCACTCAGTTCAAACCAATTGATTTACAGGACAAAGAAACAGATAACACAAACTGTCTCTGGCTCTCAAATCCTCTGAGCTTGAAACAGACATCAAACTCAGATCTGTTTTTCTTCTGTCTTTGGATAACAGAGCTTTCAAACCCAGGCTCAGTGCTAATAGCTTTAGTTTGACCCAGTCCACCACATATTAGATTCCAGACCAGCCTGAGATGATAAAGCGACTAATTACTTGTTTTCCTAAAGGCTTCAAAACTGTTATTTTACTGTCGGCTATAATTGGAGCAGCAGGCTGGTATTAGGGCTCAGATAGGGATCGTGGCGAGTTGATAAAAAGCAGCTGAGGGTCAGGTATCTTGCAGCCCTGCTCCTGCTGGTCCTCATTCAGAGGTTGGGACCTCATTTGCTGGGTCAAGGCTTTTTCAGCAGTGGGCTCAGATTTACAGATGGCTGAGAAAGCACACAGGAATTCCACATTTACCACGCTGCTGCCATGTTTAGATATCATGATAAGAACAACTTAGATTGTCTTGTATGTAGCAGGAGAGAGTTGCTGGTGGTAGAGGCCAGAAAGACAGGAAGCAGATGGACTTTTTCTCATACAGTGCTGACACAGTGTGATGGATGTTTCAGATTATGCTGGCTAAGAACTTGCAGAAAAGTCTGAGAAGGCACTATATGGGTAAGATCAGAAACTTTGCATTTAATCAAAAACGTAAGGGGGCATAGTGAGTTACCTTATTGTATCCCACTGTACTTAAATATTGGATATATTTACAGGAGTGGCTTTATTTAAACCTCCAATAACCAACTTCTTTTGGGCCAAACTGCTGCTTATTTGCACAGCCAGCACTTATGGAGCAATATAGCATTCATCTGGAGTCATGAGTGCAATATTCACTCTGTTTTAAGGTAAGATAAAATAACATAAGATAAGATAATATAAGATAGAACTTCCCCAATCCCCAAGGGAAATTGCTGTGTGCTGCAGTATAAAGTAGGAAAGAGTGCAGATTTCTTTAGTGCAAATACAAAAGTTAGCCATCCAAACATTTCAAACTGTACAGAGTTCAGATTAAAAGTTGCATAACACGCTGGTTTTTCGTATTATCATGCATATTTGCACATGTACACACAGTCCGTCTGCTCCTCTTGAGGCCTACAATGCAGAGCTCACACAAGACCATGCCATTGTGTGCCAGGTCTCTGCAGGGAGCTCAGGCTTACCGTCAGTCTGATGGAGATTAGAGCAGAATGTTTTACCTGAGAGGGGCTCTGGAGTATGTTGGAGGCAATAAGGTGAGATAGACCTGCAAACAATGGAGCATGTAATGTTTACTGTGCATTAAAGCCTGTCTTAAGCTGATCTGTAGTTATGCTGTGCGCGTAAGGCTTGATAATGCAAACACCCTAATAGGATCTGCGCCGGTGAGTAGATCCATAAAAATAGAACAATCCTTTGAGGAAGTAGACGACTCACTCTCCTCTCTCCAACAGCACAACCTGCTGAGTCTGATGTTTTCATAGTTATCAAGGTAAATGTTTTATACTTCTTTAAACTATTGTACATTTTCATCATTTATTTCTGTTTTGCGTATAGGATAAACTTATTAAGAGTTATTTGTTCACAGGTAGCATCAAATACAGTTATACAGATTGATTTTGGGACACATGCAAACTGGGAATCATATAGTAAAACTATGTTTTCAGTGAAAGTTAATGAAAAGCAGTGGAAAGACATTAGAATATGACATTTTTATGTTATGGGCAGGTTCAGTGTCATTTGTTGCTGACTTTAATTCATATTATCACTCTATTATTGTTTTTTTTATTTATTGTGTTGATTGACATGTACACAGAGATGTTAATGTAATAGTTGCCTACTGAATGTCCACAGTCAACCTTTACAGGTGCTAGAACAAGAAGAATTTATTTAGAATTGATTTAAAGAAGTCATTTGAGCTTTTGCAATTTTGTTAATTTGTAATACATAATTCAGTTGCACTGTGTTACAGTTATTATCCTTGTTATGCAATGTGATACTTCCGCCCCAGAAAGATTAGTTGACTGCAGTAGCTTTAGTTAATGGGGATCTCTTTCGGTAATCGTGTTAATTTGGCTTCACACTGACATACTATGAATGAACCTTTTTGTTCACAGGGATAATTTGTTGCCCTTAATTGTTATTGTATTATTATACACTGTATGTATCATATAAAGGGTCTCTAAATTAAAATCCTTGAGAAATGGCACCACCTTGTGGCAGGTTGCACGGTGGGTCAAAGCATGTCTTTTGTTTGTAGAGCTTTATGTTACTATAGCAGAATAATGAGTAGGTTTTGTACTTTTTACAGAGCTCAAAACAGGATGAAGAGGCTGCTTGTTCAAATTCTTTGCATCACAGAACTCCTGCTCTGTGCTGCTGACTCTCCGCCACTGAGCGAGGACACGCTGGAAAGTGAGGCCTTCATTAACAGAAAACACTTTTCTTACTAATACCGGTTGCAGAACTTAATGCCAGCATGTTTCATTGGTGTGTGTAGAGCTGTCTGCAGCAGGAGAGCAGTATGTCGATGAGGAAATAAAGCGGGCGTTACTCGGGGTGAAGCGAGTGAAGGAAATGATGGAGAAAAAAGAGGAGAAGCACAGACATCTTATGGACGCCCTGAGACACAGCAGTGACAAGAAGAAGGTATAAAGTGTTTCTGTCATTGCAACTTTAAGGTCCAGCGTAACATTTAGGAGGATTTATTGGCAGAAATGGAATTTAATATTCATAGGTATGTTTTCATTAGTGAATAATCACCTGAATAGAGGAATCGTGTTTTCGTTACCTTACAATGAGACCTTTTATTCTACAGAGGAAGCGGGTCCTCTGCCACAGAGGCCGCCATGTTGAACCACCATGTTTAGATCAGATCACACAGACCAATTTTGCAGCCACCGTAGTTTCTCCTACACTCATAGAAGGCTGAGCTGTTTTAAAGTGGTTGCAACTTCACTGCCAGATGCCACTAAATCCTACAGACCGGTCTTTTAAGTGTCGAGCCTCTGCAAACCGACCGATATTTGCAGTAATCATTCCTGATGTAAGAAACCCACAGTTGAAATACCATGATGCCGGGATGCATTAACTTCTGACAGAACATGACCATTGTAGTTGAGCAGTTAAATGCCAGTCTTTGAGCATTATTCTGAAGCCCATCACATATTTTCTGCCTCATAAAGGCAAAGCCGCACAAAGCTTCACAGAGAAACCTCAAAGCAGACAGTGAATAATGTATGTGGGAGTAGAGCTAGTTTAGGGAGTCGGGGTGTAGTTTTACTGCAGTCAGGATAAATGAACTGTCTGTAGATTAATCTGTTTTTTTTTTTAAATGTCTTTTCAAAATAAAAGACGAGGGGCTTTGTGCCAGGGCCCCCAAAAACCACATGTTATCCTCTCTGGCTTATTAAGAAGTAATGTATCTGTGACAGAATTCTCTGTTTTGGGGTTCCTTCAGGGGGCGATGCAGTTGGTCCAGGAAACAGAGCAGAAACTAGAGGAGGCTGAGCAGCAATGTCAAGATTTAACCAAATCTTCCTTTGAGGAATGTCGACCTTGTCTTGAAGATACTTGTAAGGCCTTCTATACTTCTACGTGTCGACGTGGCTTCGCTTCCTTCTCATTCAAGGTTTGACCTCAGCATATTCCTGTTATAACCATCTCAGTTAAATGATGAAGCTGAGACTGGTTTGTAACTCCACCCATGATGGTTTCTCTATGAATCTCTCTCTCTGCAGGTGGAGGAGTTTTTCAGGAAAATGGCCGCCCAGCTGGAAGTCACTGAGCGTGTTTTCAACCAAAACGAGGAGAATGCGGGTCGCACCAACCCACCTGAGAATCAGGTCACAGAAGATGAAGCAGACCTGGAGCTTCTGCAGGCGGACGCATCGTTCAGCCAGCTGCTGTCAAACATCAGCCTCCTGCACAACCAGAGCGCCAGTCTGGTCAAAAAGATGCAACAGGTGTTAGGGCATTCCTTCCTGATGGCCTTCAACACAGAGCTCCAACCCAGCCCGCAGTCGGCCACGCAGGGCGGCTCGAGTGCTGGCTTCTTTAGGACGGTGGGTCTGGACCACATCGTTGACTCGGTGTATGACTTTGGGAGGAATGTGCTGGAGGAGTTCAGCTCCACGGTGGTGGATGTGTTTGAGGAGGTACAAGAAGCGGAGGAGTACTTTCATCAATTAAGCAGAGGTATGTGAGCACTACATGTGTACCCTTTATTCTTTCTCTTAAGATAACCACTTTAACATCTATTACTGTATATTTATCTACAAAGATACAGGAGCCCTTTCTGCTTTGGGACAGTCCCAGAACAGACATCTGTGCAGACGACTCCGCAGGCAAGCATCAGAGTGCTGGCAGCTCCAAAGTTTGTGCGAGACGTGTGAAGATTATCTGATAAAAGGTAACCGACACAGAAAACATGTTGTCTTTGGCAATATTGATTTCATATCTGTGTAGCTGCTCATCCCATATGTGTGCATATAGTACAGATATGAAGAAATGTCTCCATCTGGGCTTTAAATGCAAATAATAAGTTTGCTGATTGCATTTTAGTGTCACTATAAAGTCTAGCTGGTGAGGTAGTTTCTGTAATAAAAGACATCATGAGTTAAACATTACCGTAATATCAATTACTTGGTTTATTATTACTTTGATTGTCTGATGAATTGTTTAGTCTATAAAATGTCTATAAAATACTTACACAATACTTCCTGAGAGCTCATGTCGTCTTCAGATTGCTTCTTTTGTCTGACTAAAAACCCAAATCCATTACATTTTATACGGACAAATAAATAAATAAATCAGAGAAAAGCAAATTCTCACATTTAAGAAGCTAAAAACAGTAAATGTTTGACACGCTTGATCGATAACTGACTTAAACTGTTAATTGATCATCAAAATTGTTGATTAATTTTCTGTTGACGGTGAATATAACTAATGGCATTTTAGCTAAAATAGTCTGCACTGATATAATCTGTGAAGTGATTTAAATAATGGAGTTTTACTCCAGAGAGAAAATAATAAAATATAATTGATAATTGTAGTTTTTCTTGTTTCTTAACTTCACCAAGCACACCTGGGCTTTTGCACGCTCATCTATATGTGATCATTTATTCGTACAGAGTGTCCCAGTGTCCAGCAGTTACACTCCGAGATGGAGGAGATGTACATGCTCCTCAACGCCTCCCGTCAGCAGTTTGAGGACAGGCTGCAGCTGGTGCAGAGACACACAGCGGACACACAGAGGTGGCTCAGCAACATGGATGACAAGTACGGCTGGCTCAGCCAACTGTCCAACAGCACAGCGGGCCCACACAACATCTTCAGCGTGATCACAGTATGTTTCCAGTGCATTCATCAGGCTTTATCTTATAGTATTTAATTTTTGGATGTCACACGGGTTGTGCCAAATGCATCACAACAAGGATTACTGTTGTGAATTTCTTGGCCAAAGAGGATTCAAAAATAATCCTGTTATTTGAATTCTGTTACAGATAATAGACTTAATCTCTAAAATGAATGAACATGGTTTAAATTAAAACTCCACAGCTGAAGCACATGTTGTTTATGGAACCTGGCTGTGTACATAATACTGCCTACAAATGGGTACGATTTATTTAAACTGGAGGGAATCTCGTTAGGTGTTTCAGCCGTTGGCAGGTGAGCCAGGACGTTATTTGTTGTACAAGAACTGATTCACTCAATCTCATTTTTCAGGTGAATCCACAGCAACAGATGAACAACATCAGACCTAAAGTTGACAGCAGTGTGGCTGTAACTTTACTGGACTCTGCCCCAATAACGGTCTCAGTCCCAGCGGACCTGGAGGTGGACGACCCTGCTTTTATCCAATATGTAGCTCAAGAAGCTCTGACTCTCCACAAACGGCAGATAAGAGGTATTGATGCTGGCAGTGTTGTGGCTTAGTTAATTATTTGGCTTCTGGCATCACTTGGCAGAGCTCCAAATTGAATTCGAGCTAAATGAATTGTGATAATTTGAATCCGACAACTTTACACCGTGACAAATCCCTGTGCATTTCTTCACATTTAATCTTATTCTGAGAGACACAATGCAAATGGGATGATGTGTCATAATCCAAAATGATGAAGTAACTAAGAAACAATCCTAAATTTCACCCTTCACTGACTTTGTATCACAAGATTAAATTAATTTGTATGTAGAGACTATTTAAATTGATTGACTGGCTCGTGTTGACGCCTACGTCAGTTTAAATTGTGGTTAATTTTCTTTAAAAAACTCTTTTTCTCGACACAGGAACGGACTAATGTGAACATCCCAGTGTTCACCCATTATCATCAGATGCTGAATAAAGAGTCCAGTACCGGTTATCTTTGAACAATTAAGCTAATCCTTGTAAAACTTGAAATCTGTATTAGACCTTTAAACCTTTACATGCACAGCTTATGTTGTTTTTATTCATGTAAGTTAAATCTTAGGGTTTTAAATGTTTCTGCAATAAACCTGTGTACACTCTGCTCGAGCTATTCTTTCATTTTTTTTATTACTTTTGTCAAAATTCATCCTATAAATTCATGTAGTGACTTCCTTAACTGTAATGTTTGAATATTTATCACTTCCTCTGTTTAAGGCAGGTGAAATGGCTGTAAGTCTAGTCCACATTTTACAGGTTTGTGGTTGTATAGACCTACTTAACTCTATTTTTTCTAAGGTTATTATGTTTATTTTATTTATTTATTACTAAATTTCAATTAATATAGTCTTATAGCAGTCGTACAAGAAAACACTGTAAATAAAGCTATAATTTGTGGTTTTAGTAAAAACAAAACAAAAAAAAAGTGACTTCCTTAACTGTATTTTTAAATGTAATATTTGGATATTTTCTAAAGCTAAAAGTTTTAATCACCTTTTTCTTCAGCTTTTGAAACAATCTGTATTTATGGTTTATGTTAAGTGATATAATATTATTTTTTGCAAATGAAAATTGAAAATTGGAAAACAAAATGCTTATGCTTGCAAATTTTTATTCACACCAATGTTTATTTATCACTTCCTCTGTTTAAG